AAAAAAAAAAAAAAAAAAAAAAAAAAAAAAAAAAAAAAAATTAAAAAACAAAAAAACCCAGAGGCAATAAGATCAACCGAGTATCAGGCACAGCGCCTCATACATATAAATAGCAAGTCGAAACATCTGACTGAGGGGTCAACGCATCTCTCCGCAGCAGCAGCGCTCACATACAACCAGCCTCCGGTTCCCCTACATGCACATTATACACGCAGGCCGCGGTGCTCCGCTCTCGCGGGAAACTTAAACTCCCGACCCAGTCTCGTGCAGCGAAAAAAATGGGGAAAAAAAAAAAAAAAAGTTGCACCAGTCCTTTGTAAACGATTGTAAATAATAATGAAAGAGGAGTGTGTGCAAACAAGGTACTTACCGGTGAAATCAACTTGCGGCGAGTTTGTCGTCAACAGCTCGTTCCTTTCTCTCGTCTGCAATAATGTCAAAGACGACAACGACGAAGCGATGTAGTAATGGTAATAGTAGGTGTAGTTGCTCCTGCTGTTGTTGTATTAGCCGATGATGATGATGATGATGATGATGCCTAGATGCGGCAGCCGCGGAGCCGCTCCTCTCTCGTAATCCAAAAGTCATTGACACAAAAGAGAGCCAGCCTAGTCGCGGCCACCACGCTTTTATGTGTCTTATATATATATGTATATGTATATGTACACTTGTAGACCGAGGAGAGATGGGGAGAGAATTCAAAAGAAGGACGCTTCAAGATTTTTCTTTCCTTTTTTTCTTCTTTTTTTCCTTGTAGTGCGCTATACACACGACTACGATGAGTAGTTATGGTGTGTATTATAAAATATACGAGGAGAGAAAAAAAAGGCCAAGCGAGAGAGAGAGAGAGAGAGAAGAGCGTGTCTCTCTCTCTTTACTAATACAGCAGCGAGGCCGCCGTCTGCGCGTTACTTCTGCCGCGGCTGCTACTTCTACTTAATAAGTTGACGGAGGTGGTAAAGGTACTACTGGCGATCGTCATCGTCGTCGTCATGATCATCGTCGCGTTGTTTCCTTCTTCTTCTCCTCTTCTTCTTTTTTTTTTTTTTGTTTTTTCTACAATCGACGTTGTCGCGTCTTTTTTACGCGCACCAAAAAAAGGAGAAATCGTCTGGCTGTAACACACGCACGCACACGCCGGCCCCGATGATAATGCCTCACAGCTCCGTCTGTCTGTCCATTACCGCTGCTTTGCATTACATTATAAATACAACGTACGTACATACGTGTGTACACATGTATACGTATGTGCCCACGGTCACCTTATTATTTCAACACCAATCGCGCGCCAATCTCTCTTTTCTGCCTTTCCTTCTTTCACCTACTCGCGGAACTCACGGGCTCTTAACTCACAATGTCACGTTTCATCGGACCGAACAATCATCGCACACTTGGTTTCATCCCTCGTGCACACAATTTGTACCGTGTACATCCGTAGCACTAGTCCTTGCTATCGAAGGAACGATCAACTAACTGATAAAAACTGTCACTTTGTTGGAACCTTTTAATTCACCGCACAGTACTCGTACAATCAAGTTTGCCGTCTATGTGCTTCACATGAGGGAAACAAGGTGGAACAAAACAAAACAATAACACAAGTACACAATTGTCATCACGCGTTTTGGAGTCGGCCAAAACAAGGGTGGCGATATCACGTGGACAAACAATACCTTTGCACCCCAAAAAATCTTGCAAACTTTCGCGGCACTTGGAAATTGTATGGGAAGAGGAAAAAAAATATATATAATTGATTTTTTTCTTTCCTTCTTCTTTTCAATGAAAAAAACGAAAAACAAAAAAACAAAAAAAGTACAAAGAACGAGTGGTTGATTTACCAATCGGAAAAAAATGTATCACGTGCAACGAAAAATCGAGTCGCGTGTACTCGGGGATGTATAATACGCGTTGGAGTTGGACGCGTTAGCATACACACGGACAGAGAGTACGCGATGCGCGTCTCCTCGTGCGTCCCGTCTCGGCTGAGCGACGAGCAGCGTGTGAGCCGCTAGCTGGCTGGCTTGCTCTGGCTCCGCGCGCTCGGCCGTCGTCGGATTCGCAGGCCGATTGACGGCCTACCGCTTTGCTCTCCGCGGATGAACGTGCGGCGCTTCATCGGACTGGTGGCCGGAAGAAACGTCAAAACGCGCGCGTTTCACTTCTCTCTCTCTCTCTCTCCCTCACTTATATATTCCTCTCTGTGTACACCACTACCCCCACCGGCTGTACGACTCTATCTCGCTTGCACTACTTGGACTCTGTAACCCCCTCGTCACCCTCTCTTTCTCCCTGCGTCGTAAAGGATATAGGTATACACTCTCTCGGAGTGTGGGTATAAGTAGCGTATGTTTGGCATGTATAGTGGAAACAAGAGAGAGAAAGAGAGAGAGAGAACGGGCATCGGCTGAGAGACACAGACACGTATACGTGTAGCCGTGTGCCACGGCAGTGTTGAGTGCGGTATAGGTATAGGTGGCATCGTCGGCCTCCTCGTCGCACCCGCTATTTCACCAGCTCCGCCTGTCTCTCTCGCCCTCGCTCTCCTTTTTCTCTGCCGCTCCGTTTCTCCCTCCCTCGGCCACATTGTACCACCACCTTTTGAGCATCCATCTCGCTCAGGCGCACGCCAATGACGGGGACGTCGTCGGCGACAACCTTCCTTGTTTCGATCCCACGCTTGGCGTTTATCTCTCTCTCTCTCTCTTGCTCCACTGCTGGCACTGCTGTTCGTCGTGTGACGTGTGCGCGGGCGCACGTGCAAGCCAGCCAGAGACAGAGGGGGTATATATAGTGTGCTCCAAAACGGAGCAGTGTAGCGCTGTACGGCCATAAGAGAGGGATGAGCTAATGGGGGCTGGTCGCAGTGGGCTACCCACCAAAGGGAGCGAACAGAGACAGATGCGCGCTCCACAAGTTAAAAGAGACGAGACGAGCAAAAGGAGCGAGAAGCAAAGAACAAGAGGGAAGGAGAAAGAGAGAGAGAGAGAGACGTGTGTAACACGAACCGCACGAGGGAGACGGACGCCCAGATGCATGTGGACACGTTCATATGTATGGTCGATGTGGCTGTGAGTGTGGCGAGTTTGGGGGCGCGTATGCATACATGTCTATGGGGGTACACGTAGAAAGAGAGCGGCGCGAAAGGTCCTCTGCTATCCTCGTCGGTGGTGCAGGCAGCAGCAGAAGGTGTGCGTTATATACGGTATATCCTCTTTCTCCGTAGGCACACGCGCTCGCGCTCTCGGCACGACACGACGGCGGCGGTGGTGGCGGTGCCGCTGGCGGCGGTGTTTCTTTCCTCCCTTGGGTGGAATCCGGCCCCCCCCCACCCCCTCTCTCTCGCACTCTCTTTACCAGCTTTGCTCAAGTATTTTCTTCCCCTCTTTATAATACAGAAGGCTCCTTCTCTCTTTCTCGACCTCGCCTCTCCCCCCTGCCTCTCTCTTCTCGTCCACCCTTCTTCCTCTTCCCTTCCTTCCTTGGGTTTGGCTGTGTGTGTTTCGTACATCCATCCATCCGTCCGTCTATGTACGTACGACTCACACGCACGGAAAGAGAGAGAGAGAGAGAGAGCAGACCTTTATTTATACCCCAACGGTCGGTCGCTTGTGCCGGCATCGGCTACTGATGCTGAACCAAGTAAAGAGAGGAGAATATACATATATAAAGTGCGAACGCTCGCGTCCTTTAGTCCATCATTTGGCAGCAGCAACAAGCCCCGAGACTTATTGTCGAGGAGTCGGCCGCCGCCAGCGCGTCGCTGCTCCGCCACCACCGTGTCTAGCTGTTTTGCTCTCTTTCTCTCGTGTCTCTCCCTCCCCCCCTCACTCCTACGATCGAAATTATTTTACCTCCTCCACCCCCCTCTAACCAATCGACCACCGTCCGTCCACTCTCTTCTCCCCCCCTCCCACCTCTCCCGATTTCGTTAATACTATAATACTTACTTACTACCTTTGTATTGTATACATATGTTCCACAATCGCGTGCCGTTCTCCTCCATGACTTCTATTATGCATTTATCTACGATGTACTGTTATTATTATTATTATTATTATTATTATTATTGTAATTATTATTATTATCGAGGATATATACACCTATTTATTGGTAAAAGTGACTTGAAAATAAAAGTATGTTACACAAGGAGAATACGTGAAATTTATTTACGCTTCGTAGATGAATTTTCAGTCTTTCGTGACGTTTTTCAAAACTATGACATTTTACCCTATTGTGGGTTGTGATATATGTTTCTCATGGTCTAGCTGTTAAAATTTATAAGATATCAGAGCCAGAACGTTTTTTTGATGCGGAAATATTTTTTTCGTCCAGTTATCCTCAGTAGTTGAGGTAAAATAGATTATTTCTGCAATTGTCCAATGTAGTACTCGCTAAAAATGAATATCCATGCTCCCGGAGTGGTTCGAACAGGTTCGAACAAGTCCAAACAGTCCAGATTAAAATCTTACATAACCTGTACTCGAATGTAGTCAAACCCCACTCCACTTCTAGATATTAAAATTCTGGTAAAGATTCTGGTAAAAAATACAATTAACATTTAAAGATTCATTATGTCTTCTAAAATACAGTGCTACCATGTTTGTACGTATTATAGCAGTCCCATCGAAGGCTTTGGGTGACTCTGCTGCTACAAACGATAGGGGAATTTCCGAAATCATTGCATTTTCTCTCACTCACTCACTCTCTCCCTCTATGTGTATATACACCCCTCCCACGCTTCTGACTCACTACACAAGAGAGCGAGAAAGAGAGTTTGTGCATATAAGTGTACATACGTGTGTGTACACGTGTACTGGCGAAAAGTCTGGCTCGTCGCCTGGCTATCGCACCCACAACACGGCTCTATTATCGCGTGAGCGCCACACACCGACAGACAGAGAGAGAAAGAGAGGAAAAAAACACTCTCTTTCTATCTTTTCTTGTATACGTGTACATGGGGATAGATCGATTTAGAATTTGGCCTCTCGCGTAGCAGTTGTTTATACATACATACAACGAGACAACGCGTATTGGGCACGAAAATCGCTCTCTCTCCCTCCCTCTGCTCGTCAGTCTCATTTTCTTTCTCCAGTCGCACCCTCTTTTTTTTTTCTTTCTCGTTCTCTTGTTCAAAGTGCGCAGTAGTATTATAAGCCATCCGCGCGTCGCAGTTGACGAAAGCGGGTCGGCTTCGCTTTTTTTTCTTCTCTCCTTCATGGAGTCGAAGAGAGATTGGAGGGGCAGGATGTTCCTTTCTTTCCCCCTTTTTTGTCTGATGGGGGTTGTATGTGTGTTTGTGCGTGTGCGCGCCTACGTGTACGCGAGCACATCCAAAAAAGCTCCCGATGAGCTTTTCTGGAAGCTTCAAAAGATAATTCGGATTTCGTGAGCTGTAGCAGCGGAAAGCATCGATTGTTCACCTGTTGGAATGCACTTTTGTCGGGATTTTCGAAAGTGAGCTGGATTCTCTCAAGGGGTGGAAAAGGGTGCAAATCTTTACTTATTAATTTGCTGATAACACCATCTTTCAATCGTCTGTCACCAAATGTCATACACTGCTTGACATTGTTCTTGCTCATTTCTAATTCGCATTGAAAACAAAGCAAACAAACAAAATAAACTGATCGATATGTTTCTTTATGCGGTAATTATGGTGCTATTAAATTTTACGGCTGTTTTATTGTCTGCAAAGCAAATAAGAAGCTTCATATGAAGGAGAGTTAATAAGTGTACCTAAGGAAAAAAAGGGTACAATAATCATAACTATATACCATTACAGTAAAGCCTATAGGCAAACAGAAAATACACATTATTATTTCACGGCTTATACTCTTTTGGTACAAGAGAAACTGGAACTTTTTTGTTCGGAAAGAAAATCTACATAGCGATGAGAATCGTGTAACACGAATAATAGTTATAATAATACACAAATCTAGTTTCAATCTGCGACTGATAAAAATCGACCAAAAGTAATCCATATCTCGGTAGTCGGTCTAGCTTCTTAAAATGCCTATTAATACGAGAAAACGTCCATTGTTGGGTGACGTTTCTTTCTCCTTCGTCACCGCTAGAAAGATTTAGTGTATTCTGCATGTGTATGCAGTTGTAGCCTGTAGATTCCTCTCCTTTTTTTCTCTCCTGTGTATTTTCTAGAACACATATTTCGATAAAAACTTGGAAGAGCGAATGGAAAGACGAGCCCATCTAACAGGCCACATTTCAGGGCAGAGGTAGCTAATGGTATGTTATAGCAAAAGAAAAAGGCTGGAGAAAAAGAAAGACAGAGAGGAAAGAGAGAGAGAGAGAGAAAGAAGAAAAAAAAAGAATAAAGAAGATGCGTCTAAGAAAGGATCGGTACATAGAATAATATAGAGGAACGATCTGCGTCGGTGGCAACGACGATGCGCTCCTTCGCTTTAGCAAGACACGCGGTGTATACATATTATATATTGCTTCTCCCTACCTGCGAGCATAAGGTAGTCCATTTAAAGAGAGGCAACAGCAGCGTCCTTCTTGGTATTAGAGACGTATAAGGCCCCGGCACACACACGCGTGCCAGACCACTTTTCGACAAACATACAGCCTGTATAGAAAGAGATGATGACCCTGTGGGTATATGCACACGCCATATATACCCATAAGCCGTTTTATACGGACCGAAGGTCTCTATGCCTAACGTAGTCATTCGACCGGCGATTCTACCACGCGAGGCTTCTCCATGTGTGTAGCAGAGAACGGAAAATAAAAAAATAAAAAGAAGGGGCCCGTTGTTGAGTTGCGCAGGAGAGCAGACAAATTTTCCTTTCTTTTCAATTTGTCGCTTGCCAGGAAACTTTGAAAACACACATCTGCTGCCACCGTTGCCTAAAACGATGGGTCCTCCTTAGTCAATGGGCCCTCTTGGGCTCATGTCTTCCAAGGAGTTTTTTCACCTCTGCTGTGTACTGCTTCTTGGTCCGCTATTGTTTGCCTACTCCATTTAATACCAATGTTGTAGCAGAGGTTTCATAATTTTTACGGCTTGATTTTCATTTAAATGAATTTTGTT